TTCCAACTAAAGCGAAAGAGGAAGATGCAATGGCCGCCCAGCCGCTTAGATAGACTGAGTGACACCCTAGAGTTCAAATTGGAATGTGCTTGCCCAACATATGCCATGGTTGCTGCAGCCGTCCACATTATAGAAGACTTCCAGTCCTGATGCTGTCATTGCTTCCATTCAAAGGCATCAATTTTGCGTATTTTATAAAACTGTCTAAGGAACGCGAATTTCCACTTCTTGAAGAAAATCAAGAACAGAACTGCCATATCTTGATTGCCAGAAGTCCTCGAGAGGCATTTGTCGGAGCCTCGGGCTGTTGCGAGCTCAGCCACCATCGATCAACGACTTAGCGGTGTTGGCGATTCATCACGGTCGGCAACCTGGTGTCAGATGCAGGCACCCAGTGAGGATTATCCAGGACTGTAACCGAAGTTGATGATCAGCGACTCCCAGGATCAACGTCAAGCCAAAGCGGCCAATGACATATTGCCAAAGCTGAGTTGCCAAGAGGTTGCCAAGTGCACAAGCCGGAGACTAGTTCGAGGGAGGAAGGAGTCAAATAACCATGAAACTACCAAGTTTAATACATGATTTTTACGTATACATTAGCACAATGAAGGTAAATGGGGAGGGATATGGCCGTCGAGAAACCATCGTTTATTGAATGAGCCCTAATATGGCTCAAGCAGGTGTACAGTATGCCGTTAGGAAATAGGACACTTCTGGAGGTGAATACAGCATTTTCAGTTATCACTCGAGCTCTGCTGCCACTCCCAAAATCTATTAAGTATCAAAAACAAGATGAAGCTTTGGATGTGCGATCGCTAAGTTCGATATCTTATCAATATCGCGGTAACTTTGTAAGCTAAAAGCGCACGCAACCTTGACAGAGATTCCAAGTTGTCTCCAGCAATCCATGTCTCAACAACACCTGACCAGTGAATTATTTGGACAGATAAGTAGATACACAGCCATTAAAACTCGGCACTCAACTATCTCTGCAAATATCAGGTCATATTGCTCATTTTCCACCACTGGGAACCAGAATCCCCAAAGACCTTCCCCCTTAGGTCTGGCGGTTGAGGTGCGAGTGGGACGCCAATTGGAGCTGCTGATCCGTAATCCCTGGGCGCGCCCGGTACGTAGCGGTAGTTGATACAATAGCTCATTTGTTATTATATCTTGGTACTCTTGGCGATGATACCCCCCTCCTCCAACTATCAAGTCCGTCCCTCTCCACGCAAGAAATTGACTGCCGACGACAGAAAGCTGAAAGACGACGAGATGATTTGGATGCCTGCCGTTCTATTCAGCTTCGTGGCCAACAATGCCGTCTCCTCTAACACTGGAGCTATGTTGCATCCATGCATCGGCGACGACTATCAGAAGAGGCAGGTCATTACAGAAGGGAGAAATATGCCTTTTGAGATCTCGGCTAGTCTGGAGGTATCCTGGAGGTCTGCGTATTGAGTAGCTGTAGATAGAGGCTGGGGAGTCTTGAGGTCTTTGCTCTTGAGAGACTGCCTCGCGATTCCCGCGAGAAGGGCAAGAAAAAGATCTCATGAGACCGAGAAGTAACGCAGTCGAACTGGGAAGCGACTTAGAGCATATCCAGGGAAATGCGTCAACACTCAGATGTGTGCAATACCTTATGCTGTTTCGATATAGAAGATTTTTAGGTCAAAAAGCGCAACCAGAGGGAACGTTCTGTTTATCTGAACACCAACAGGGGTTCGGCAGCTGAAACTAGTTCCTCGAGATTCCTTCTGGCAGTTCTCTTTTGGCTGCTAATGTAAGAGTATGCACTTCTACGGAGGGCCCTAATGGACGTGATGCAGGACTCATTGTGGGTAGAGACCAGTCTAGGAAGAAACAGCGAGACTAGACTTAACTAAACAGTGATAAATCATGGTTACATTTAATATTCTGAAGCGTTTTCTTATTGTGCTTAGGTCATCTTCACGTATCTCTTCTACCTCTAGCATTTTAGGGTATTCAGTTTACTTTGCTTAGTTCCATTGCCAATTTCATCCAGGTAATTAAGAAAGGCCACTAGCTATTTTCCTAGCTCATCTGAATAGGTTCATAAGCTAGCAAGGGACCCTTTGCAGAGAGCATCGTACGCACTCCAGATCGGCGCTACCACTGGAAAATATACCGGAGCGCTAGTCCTTGGATGCCATTTGCGATCTACCTCAATTCTCATGAGAGAGCATGATTAGTAACCATGATTGTTTTCGACCTCAGTGCCTGCTGAGATTCGATACTACCAATACTGTTTATGGTATAAGCCTCGAAAGCTCGAGTGTTCGCCACGGCCTTCATGTGGGAAGTCGGAAAGGGTGAGCTTCGGTGTTGAACACGTATTCATCCAAGCTGATTAGATCAGGTGAAGAGAAGATAAGATAGTAATATTTGAGCGTCTCAGAAAGCCAGAAACTCTAGGAACGTGTTGATGTTAATGATGCACTCGTCACTTGGGATTGGACAGTGGCAGCGGGAGAAGGACATACCTCCATAGAGTCTGTTTTCTCGGTTTTGTCAGCGGGGGCAGTGACATCAGCAATTGCAGAGTTGGCAAACTCCGTCTCAGTCGCTTTCATGACCGATTGGAACATATTCCAGGCGATATCCTGCAGGTCTTCCTGCCCTGTCATCCTATAGAGCAGAAATATGCTTTCGATGGCTTCAGGACGCAGTATATGCTTAGGATCGCGTGCGTTCTTGAAACCTTTCCGCAGTCTTTTGTCGCCCTCCTGCTCCCATACCTTCTCGTCCCAAGGGCACTGTTCTATTGTTGAGAAGCAGGCGATGAGGCTGGATATCTCCGGCATGACACCCGCAGGCATAGCGCCATAGGCCCACGCACAACCGCGGGCGAGACGATTGCCGAGCTCGACGTGACTGTCAATCGCGAACAACTTACCACCCAGACCCATCATTCCGCCCGCGAAGCAGGACAGATGCTGAGTCTCAGCGATATGATCAACTCGATCTGGGTGAACACGTGCTTCGCCCGCCAAGAGGATATCGACATTGTCCTCGGTCATGGGCCGGAACAGCAGGTGCTGCTCGACAATCGCCATTGAACCAACGTACATCTTCTCGTATGTCTTGTCTAGACCACCAAGAAGGGTGTACATCTTGGGCAGGTACTCATACAGCGAATCTGCGAGCGCGCCCAGCGAGAAGCCGCTGTCTCCATCAACTTTCTCGTCCTGGAAATTGATCAACTTGGGCCACATGCCGGGAAGCTTAGACTGATACTGTGTGCGATCGAGGAAGCGGATGATGCGCTTGACGGCGTCGAAGTATTTCATATCGCCAGTAAGCTGCGAAAGGCGGGTGAACTCGAGGGATAACGAGCAAGGTGAGGCCGACGGATCGGCAGTTCCCGCCCGCTGAGCACCCTTCTTGGCGTTCTCGAAATTCAACCAGAACCCGGGGATCCGGTTGGGCGTGTCGAATCCCATGTAGAGCATATCCCCGAGCTCTCTCGCTTTCTTCAGAAGGGCTGCCTCGCCACTGAGATCATAGGCGCTAAGCAGGCCGCCCAGGTGGCGGATCGTGATCTCGAAGATGTTGACGCTCGTGTCGGTAGTGTTAGCCCAATCCAGCTGGGCAGCTACCTCGGCCGCGGCATAGAATTCAGTGCGCAAGCCCATGATCCACAGCGTGTCCATCGAGTCGACCAGCGAGGCGGCCCATCCTCCGAATGTATCCCTTCCCTGGGCGCTCACGGGCGCCAGCTCGTCGCGGGCCCACGCGTAGCGTTTATAGGCATCGTAGCTCTTCTTGAAGGCCTCTCGGACAGCCTTCTGGCGTTGAGGCGCTTCTGGGTGAGGGTTTACGGCACCGTAGACGTGCTGGACGCGGGGGAGCCGAAGCGGTTTGCCCGTCGGCAGAGGCGTGATGGGGTCGGAGGCGGGATAGAATTGCTGCGCCGTCGACCAATTGAACGAACTCGGGCGGAACTGGACATTTGGCTGCGGCGACTTCTGCGCCTCGAGCGGAACAATGGCGGGCGTGTACAACCAGTAGGGGTTGTAGAACAGAAACACGACGATGAGGATGAGCAGGGCAACCAAGGTGAGGCGCGGAGTTCGACGGGGTACAATCATTATTCCGGGCGTCTTTCCATGGATGAAATCCTTCGAGATGAGGTGTCCATCTTGGTACAAGGTCACAGAGAGGGATCGAAGGGGACCACACCATATAAACTTACACAGCCAAGGTTTGCGAATTCGTCATAGCACAAGGATGCGATGAAGCTTAACGGCCACACTTGACACCTGGGACGCATGAGATGCATGGGACGAGCGCATAGACGGAAACATTCTATTTTCGGCCTGTCGGCAATGGTGCCAATGGGCTGATCAACAGTTCGGTGCTGCGGGTGCTTAGACAAACGACCAACGTCCGAAACATACGAAGACTCACGAACAGATCACAGATCAGATACATTTCTTCCTTGTAGGCGCCAAGACCTGCCGTTGTTACAAAAGAGCCGTGGACACGCGGCCATAGCTTCAAGTTCCATCACCCCCTCCTATCCGCCTCCCACCCTTCGACGACGGCAATTGTTTCTATAGCTAGATTAAAGTTTGCTCTCACAACCCGACGATGCGGTAAACTTTGTGAAGCGCAAGCCGTCTTGTCTTGCCTTGGTGTGGTCGTTTGCCGAGCGCTTTATGAAACTCTGGTCTGCCAACCGGTATCTAGCTGGGGCTTGAGTGACAAGCCGTTGTCAACCAATGTCTTTAAAGATTGGGAAGTTTGGACTTCAACCGAGCCCACCCGGCTACATACGACGGTTTTTGATAATGGGGGGTGCCCAAATGGCTCCTCACGGGCTGTTCTAGCTTCATATAATGCAGCAAGTAGAGACTGGGATGAAATTAAAGCATCGTGTCACCTTTACATCCTAAACATGAGCGAAAATACATTGTAGCGAGAACCAAACGCCCTTAACCCCACGCACCCGTATCAATATACCTGAGTTCAGGTTTCTACGATGCCTCCTGAGTGAGGAGCTTGCTCTTGCCAGCCAGGTCCGTGGCAAGCTGCCTCATCGGGATGTTGGCCATGATATCAAAGACACTGACATCGACCGCCACCTCCTTGGCAATCCAGTTTCTGACCTCAACAGCAACTAAGCTGTCAACGCCATAGGCACTCAACGGCTTTCCCGCATCAACATCGTCCTCGGGCATCATCATCAGCTTGGCCAGGCGCTGCGCAAGAGCAGACGTGATCAAGCGAACCGCCTCGTCATCGGCCTTCCCGCACCGGACAAGCTCATCGCGGAGCGAGACGCTGGCGGAACCGCCGGTGCCGGAGCCCGCGGCCGTCTTCCTGAGACCAGCGAAGCGCTGGTCCTGGATCCAGTACCATGCGTCATCGTGCTCGTTGTAAGGCAGACCGCACATGACCTGGGGCGGGTGCGCTTCTGAGCCCTCCAGAGCAGTCGCCATGAGTCCGTGGAGATCACTCTTGTGCATGACCTTGAGACCCATGGCCTTGACGTGGTCGACGTACTCGTCGTGCTCGGCGACGAAACCAACGCTCAGGAGGTACCCAATGTCGATGGTCATGGCACGCAGACCCTGACTGCGGCGGTAAGCGGCAAAGTAGTCCTGGAAGATGTTACCGCAACCATAGTTGCCCTGTCCGCGGTGGCCCATGACACCCGCCAGAGAGCTGAGCATGACGAAGAAGTCGAGCTGTTTCGGCAGCAGTTCGTGCAGGTTCCAGGTCCCGTGAACCTTGGGGCCAACAGTTGTACGAACATGGTCCGCCGTCATCTTATCAAACAGAGTATCCTATAACTTGTAGTTAGCGATGCAACTCGTGGTAGTGAGTTGAGGGTATTGGCTGAACTTACTCTGAGAACCATAGCGCCAGTGACGCACCCCCTGACAGTGGGGACATCCTTCGACTTAAGGTCATCCAGCACTTGTTGAAGTGCTGCCTTGTTTCCAACGTCACAGTCGTATGCATACGTGGTGGCTCCGTAAGTCTTCTGAAGCTCGGAAGCAAAGGCCTTGTTCCCCTCGCCGCTGGCAGCAGAACGAGACAGCAGAACTAGATGTTTCGCACCCTTCTCAGCAAGCCAGCGACCAATCTCCTTGCAAATACCACCAACACCTGCAACGACGTAGATGGCATCTGCCTGGATACCAACGCGGGGGATCCGGGGAACGGCGGGGACCACATCGGTGTCGTCGACGCGCACGACAACCTTGCCCATGTGCTTTCCAGCCTGCATGAAACGGAACGCCTTCTCGACATCGGCCATCGAGAACATCTGGATAGGCGCGATCGGCCTAACGGAGCCGTCGTGGATGAGTTTGGCCGTGTCCTCCCAGAGAGCAACGGCGCGAGGCGTAGGGTTGTTCTCAAAGTCCAAAAGGTTGACACCAATGTATGCCTTGTTGTCCAGGAAAGGCTTCATGTCGAGACCGGTGTTGGCAAACAGATCCGCCTTTCCAATCTCCAAAAAGCGTCCAAACTTGGCCAGGCAATGCCAAGACAAGCGGAGAAGCTCACCGGCCAGGGAGTTGAGGACGACGTCCACGCCCTGGTCATTGGTGGCTCTCATGACGGCCTTGGCGAAGCTAGCGTCACGACTGCTGAAGATGTGATCCTCAGGGATGCCGTATTGGTCCATGATGAGCTGTTTCTTCTCGTCTGACCCAACAGTGGCGAAGATCTCGGCTCCCTTGCGCTGTGCAATCATGATGGCAGCCTGGCCGACACCACCGGCGGCGGCGTGGATGAGGATCTTCTCGCCCTTGAAGAGATTGCCAGCAGTGACCAAGGAATAGTACGCTGTGAGGAAGATGAGTGGCATAGATGCCGCCTCCTCGAAGCTCATCTTCTCGGGCACGGTAATGGCGCCCTTGGCAGGGAAGCGGACGTATGTGGCGAATGTATCGCAAGATGCGGTCATTACACGATCCCCGGGCTTGAAGTCCCTCACTGCCGAACCCACACGTGTGACAATACCTGACGCATCGACGCCGAGCTTGTTCTCGGCGAGGTTTCCCAAGGCGACGAGGACGTCCTTGAAGTTGAGACCCACCGCCTTTACCTCAACCTCGATCCAGTCTTCGGGCAGGGGCTCGTAGTAGACTTCGTCCTCCTCCCATCTAAAGGTATCGAGAAGACCGGGCGTCTTGATCGTGAGCTTGAGCGGACGCCCGCAACCCTTGAACGACACGAGTTCCGGCCGGCCCTTGGCTTCGTACTTGCGAAGAGAAGCGTCGACGTCGAGGGTTCTCTCTACCCGCGGCACGTAGACAGTGCGGCCGCGGGCAGCATACTCCCCGTCAAAGCCATCGCTGCGGCTATGGCTCAAGGCTACCCTGAGAACGTTCTTGGCGGCGTCATCGAAGTTAATGCTGCTGGGCGTCTCCAAATCGAGAGTAGCAAGGCGGACTCCTGCGTCTTCGTTGCGAATGGCCCTTGAAAGACCTACCATAAGGGATTTCAGTGGTTCCTGGCAGTCCATTGCGGCACCGCCAGTGATCCAAAGCGTCCCAGCAGACCCGAGAATGACTTGGCGCAACCTCTCCCAGTTCTTGTCTGTAAGGTCGAAAAGGACGGGGCTCTCCCACTCCGCAAGAGAGAGGCAATACTTTCCGTTCAGTTGGCTTTTGGAAGCGTCAATGTCGTTCCACTGCACAATGGTGACATCCTGGCTGGCAGAAGCGAGTTGCTTCTGAATTGACTGGCTGAGCTTCTCGGACGCCTCGGAGCCTGTGCTGATGATTACAAACTGAGACGGGCCGGGCATCTCTTGCTCTGGTTTCGTCGACAGAATTAAAGAGACGGGCTCCTTTGAGGTTTCCCGGTCACCACGGATGTCAACGTCGACACCCGAAAACCCAGCCTTCACCAATGCAGTGTTCCATTCCTCGACGTCCAGAAGAGGGCCACCCGTGCGGCCATCGTCCTCTCCGAGCCACCATCCAGGGAGGGGACCCATGATGAAGCCTGAGAAGATGCGCTTGATCGTGACTTCTGAGAGCACGAGTCTGCCACCAGGTTTGAGCAGAGACTTGCAGTGGGTCAGGGTCTCTTGAATGCTCTTAGTAGCGTGGAGGACGTTAGCGCAGACAATAAGGTCGTAGCTCTCGGGCGTAAACCCCTGCTCCGTGGGCTCGTTCTCGATGTTCAGAGTGGCAAACTCCATGATCGATGCATCTTTGGAGAAGCGGTCAGCGGCCTTGGCAAGGAAGCCCGGAGATATATCCGTGAAGCAGTACTTGGCGGCCTTGGAAGTGCCATCCGCATTGCGCAGGCGCTCGAGGACGTGGTAAGTAGTACCGCCGGTTCCAGCTCCGATTTCCAAGATCTTGACCCCAGAGCTCTTGTCCGCGATCATTCCCACGTACTCCGCGACGTTGGTGTTGAAGCTCGTTCCGAAGGCGCCGCGGTAGAACGAGTACAACAGGTCACCCTCGGTCATGACCTGCAGGGGCTCGACTTCCCGTGTGAAAATCCTCTTTAGGTTCTCTCCGATGCGGTCGACCATCTGCACTGTGATATCGCCGCTCTCGGACAGAATGATCCTCTTACGCGCAGCGTCCAATTCCGCCTCGACTTCTGCCTCATCGGTAGCAAGAGGGGGGAACTGCTTGATGGTGTCGCGCATCCACTCAACATAAAGCTTCCAGAAGCCATCTTGGGGTACGAAAGGCTTGCCTTGCTCGCTTTCGAGCCAGGCAAGGCATCGATAGATGTGTACCAGACAGACGTATTCGAGCTTGTCAAGAACAGATTCATCGTCCTTGCTCTTGAGAGTGCGCTTGTAAACCAACTCTTTGATCTGAGAAGGCTCAAGCAGATCGGCATCCTCATGCCAAGTCTGGCCAAAGCAAGAAGCCCTCGTCTCTTGGGTCTTCTGTGCGTCTCCTTCGCCGACAGATGCCAGAGAAACACCTTCCATGATGATCACGGGCTCCGAGAGGTCCTCTGATATGGTGATAGAAGACTTCCAAGTGGTGTAGCTGGTCTTTTGAGCAGTGGAGCATCCGTGAAGCTTAGTTCCTGGAACTCCCGAAAGCTTGGTCGAGACGAAGATGCGGTCAAAAGAGAACGGCACGACCGCTTCATTCAAAGACTGGTCTTCACCACTGATGGAGGGGAACAGAAGATGGAGCACAGAATCCAGGGTGGCAGGATGAACGACGTTGGGGTACTCGAAGCCCTTAGGCATGACAGACTTTGTGTCTGGGACAGTGATGACGCCGTAGCTTGCATTTGAGCCCGCAAACAGCTCAGTCATGTTCCGGAAGGTCGGCCCGTACTCCATGCCGATGGTCTCTACTGTATCGTAGAGGAAGTTACGCGCGGGCTTCTGACAGATTCTCTTGGCGTTGGCGAAAGATTGTGCGTGGCGTTCGCGCTCGAGAGCCAGCTCGCGCTCCATAGAGGGGGAAATGGAAGACTTGTAGGTGACGGAGACAAGACCTCGTGCGTGTACGGTCCATTCTTTGATGTCCTCTGACCAGGAAGAGACGGAGAACTCGTTGAGAGTGGTGGAGGGTCCAGCTCTCGTTCCAGTTCGTCGACCATGAAGCTGAACCATAACCTCGATGCCTTTTTCGGTGTCGGGTACCCTGAGAGCAGTGTCAATGGCGACATCACGGAGTTCGTATCCGTAAATCTCCTCGGTGGCCTGCTCCTCGGCAAGCTGGCGAGCTGCTTCGATCGCCATGACGACAATGCCAGCTCCAGGGTACAAGATGTCACCCTGGACCTTGTGCTCACGGATCCAAGGGTTTTCGGTGCACCGCAAGTGACAGCGCCAGGTCGGATCCGGCGTGCCCGGGATGCGATATCCGAGCAAGTCTGACCGAGATTTCTCTCTTAGTCTATACTCACGGCTGAGATAAGATTCTTCCCAGAATGTGCGAGTGTGGTTCCATGCATAGGGTGGCAGGTCGACCAGCATGTTTGCGGTGTCCGAGACTTCGTTGACTCGGTTAATGTCAATGTCACACCCCTTCGACCAGAGCTGACCCATCGCTTCAAGAGCGGTCCGCACTCCGTTGAACTTTCGTCTAAGCACTGTAGTGTAGGAGAGGTCGGAGAATCGGTTCTCCGTGGAGAAGATGTCTAGAAGATAGCTCCGCAGAGCAGAGTGAGGGCCCAACTCGACAAAAGCGCTAGCGAAAGCGGTTCTGTCGTGGGATCGAGTCTTTCCTTCGGTGTGGTGCAGGAGGGATTTGACTGCGTTGACGAAGTTGACAGGAGACACTAGGTTGTCAACCCAGTAAGAAGGTGTCATCTGCTCGGGGGTAACCTGCTTGCCGGTCACAGATGAGAACATAGGAATGTCAGAAGAGCCATGCGGGATGCCCGCCAGCGCGGCCTCATATCTCTCCCTTGCGGCCTCCATGTGGAAAGAATGATAGGCAACGTCCATAGGGAGGCGTGTGCACGGGATTTGGGCCGCCTTCAAGATCTCCTGAAGCTCGTCAATAGCGACGTTATCACCAGAGACAGTACAGGCCTTAGAGCTGTTGAAACATCCAACAGTAGCCTTGCCAAGCTTTAGAGCTTCAAGATGCTCCCTGATGCTCTCAGCACTCGCAGAGGCAGCCAACATTCCGCCATTCTTAGAAACTGTCTGGGAGACCTGGCCTCTCAGCCATGCGATCTTGACTGCTGCCTCATGATCGATGAAGCCTGCACAGTAAGCGGCTGCGATTTCACCGCTCGAGTGACCCACGACAGCGACGGGCTTGACACCCCATTCCTTGCAGAGATCGACAAGAGCGACTTGCAAAGCGGTGCATACAGGCTGGCTGTAGTCCGTCCGGCGCAAGTTACAGCCCGACTCGTCACGGTCCAGCTCCTCTGTCAAGGCCCATGGACAGCCCAGAGACTTGAGAATCAGCTCGGACCGCAGCATGCTGTCTTGGAAAGTCTTGTAAACTGAAAGCTCCTTGCCCATCTGGAAGTATTGTGCACCCTGTCCAGTAAAGACAAAGGCTATCCTCGGCACCGAGGAGCTGGAGGATCGGACCACGGCAGGAATCTTCTCAAGACCCTGACGGAGACTTGAGACATCAGAGGCAATGGCAAATGATTTCCAAGGGAGCGTGGTTCTCTTGGAAAAGAGAGTATATGCAAGATCGGACAGGAAAGAAGGCTTGCTTGAGGTCTTGCCATCCAAGTAGGATGCCAGTCTCTCAACGTTGCGCTTCACACCCTCCTGGTCGTTGGAAGAAAGCACAAATAGTTTAGGAGCAACTTCTTCGTGACTGGCGTTGCTGCTTGTCTCTGTTTCGGAGCCACTTTCACTGGCTGAACTGGAAATGGTAGGAAGCTTCGGGTTGGCAGTTGCGTAGTGGCGTCCTGAACGGCCGTGACGGAACAGATAAGATGCAGCATCTTCGAGAATCACGTGGGCGTTGGCTCCTCCGAAACCAAAAGAGTTGATGCTGGCCCGTCGCGGACCGCTGCCGGGCCAAACTGTAAGGGTTGTGGGGACCTTGACATTCTCTGGAAGTTCGATCTGGGGATTGAGTTCCTCAAACCTGGGAAGTATGACTTAGTAAAGCGTTCGTCAACTTTCTATCATTTTTCTCTTTCGAAGACTTACCACAGGTTCTGAGGGATCAGTCCCCTTTCAACGGCGAAGGCAGCCTTGATGATGCCAGCGACACCCGCTGCGCCCTCCAGATGTCCGATATTGGCTATTGCAAAGGATCAGTTTCGCCAACATAGACTCAGAAAGACAATGCACATACTCTTCACTGAACCGACGTAGAGATCGGACTTGCGACTGGGCAGATCTCCAATCGTCTTCAGAACGGCACGAGCCTCGAGCGGGTCGCCGGCTTGGGTTCCAGTGCCGTGAGCCTCAACATAGCCCGTCTCCGCAGGATCGACGCCTGCATCGCGATAAGCTTTGCGGATTAGCTCTTGCTGGGCTTCGCTGTTCGGTAGTGAAATTCCGGGGGTTCGGCCGTCTTCGTTTGCTGCCGAAGCCAGGACGACAGCTCGAATGGTGTCTCCATCGCGAAGCGCGGCTTCAAGAGGCTTCAAGATGGTGACGCCGAATCCCTCTCCTCGAGCAAATCCATCGGCCTTGGCGTCCCACATCTTGGACTTGCCATCTGGGGAGAGAATCTTTGCGGCCCCGAGAAGGATGGACATATCAGGCCCGAACATCAGGTTGGCACCTGCAACAATACTCTGTCATGAAAGAACCAGATTAGCGTCATATTGTTTCTTGGTTTCGTTGTCAAAGATTTTCTTACCATTTCCGCCTCCCCAGTACGGATACTCTGACAACCCAAGTGGAAAGCAGTCAGACTTGACGAGCATGCAGTGTCGACTGTGACCGAGGGTCCTTTAAGATTGTAAAACCAAGACAGCCTATTTGAGGCCAAAGAGGATGAGAGGCCAGTGGCATCTTCGTTTTGTGTTAGAAGCAGTCCCTCCATATGCAGCAGAAATATTTGTAACTAACGGTAGATGGAAGGGGCTTCGTTGCTTTGGGCTTGTAAGTTGACAAAGTCGTTCGTAAATGTGCCAATGTAACACGACGTTTGCGTTCCCGAGACATCTTCCAGTCTCAAGCCAGCTGCTTTGGAGTCAGTGCGCATTCTCCACGCCGATTGTTCCATGGTTAGGTACCGTTCTCAAAGCCTTCATATGCAGCCTCAAGGAGCATTCTCTGTGTAGGATCCATCGCCTTGGCCTCTTTGGGGGTGACGGAGAAGAAGGGTGCGTCGAAGACCTTGAAGTCCTGCTTCAAGAAATGAGCGTGCCTTGGGAGACGGTGAGTCGATAGCGCATAAGAGTGGCAATCGCATCATGCTGAAAGCTTACCTCTGCTGTATGCTGCCCAGTCTTTCCGGGTCAGGGTGGTAGAAGCCGTCGACATTGTAGCGGTCTTTTGGTATTTCGGAGCGCGCAGAACGGGCATCAAGGAGCATCTGCCAGAACTTCTCTGGGTCGGAGGCATCTCCTGGGGCTCTCACGCCAATCCCGATGATTGCAATAGGCTGATTTGTGCTCGGCGCACTAACAGACTCGTCGATGAACGGCATTTTGCCAAGCAGATGATGAAGAAGAGCAAAATTAGTAATGGTATGGGGCTAGCGGGTATCTTAGATTTGTAATGAAGGGGGGACTGGAAGGCACGCGAGTGTCAGAGGATAGGAAACACAGACGGATGAGCAGGCTTTGAGTATAATATTTCTCCTTTGGAGAGTCTCTCGGAGCAGCAGTTCGCAGCTTATTCGCATCGCTAAGATTCATACAAGGACAACGCCGAATAAGCCGACCATCTCTAGGGTCCCCAGGCAAAGTGACCAGGCCAATGCTATCATGAATTCCGGGCACGTTTCCGGCTCTGATGCCAAAGGCAACTTGGTTGCTCGGGGGGAGGGGGGATACGTGTGGATGTGCTAGGGGAGTTTCCGCGTCCCTGTTCAGCTTCAGGAACAATCTGGGGTTATGGTTACAATCATGGTATCCGATATCCAGAACGGAGGTGGTTAACTGGGCCGGCCCACTACTGACTGCATGGGTCCCGGATTCCGTATGACCCAACGGGTCCATATAGCAGACCGCGACTCTTGTCTCGAAAGATCCTAGCTCGGTCGGAATCATTGATAGACACCCATACGCATGGCATGGTAAAGATAGCGTCCAGAGCCATTCAGGCACATGGGTGTGTCACCTGTCGGCAAATGATCGAGATCAAGAGGGAGTTTGAACTCCCACCGGCATCACTAGGCCAGGCTGGTAACTTGTCACTGATAATCGTTATTTCGTAGGAAGCGGGGGCGAAGAAAACCGGGCCCTTCATTTTGTGTCTCTGTATCCGTAAGTAGGATATAACTGAGAGGCTAGTCTTCTAGGTCCAAGTAGACGACGTGAATGTAATGACTTGCGACAAGTCTTGGTTCTTAACACATACAACAACTAGACCAAATAACAGTGAATTATAAGTTCATCTTGAACGACTCGCGATTGGTGGGTTCAGATATATTAGACTAGGCTAATTCTCGTAATCAAGCAATTGAATCAATATGGTGAGTGGCATGACAAGTAAAGCACACCCTCCTATGATTTTGTTTGCAGATGCGGTGTAACGGCCAATCAAAGCTTTTCTCCGCAACATTATAGTCTTGTTTCGTTAGATGTCTTATAGAAGTCCAGCTTTGTCTTTATCAGCTTGATCCACATTTCAGTGCAGGCAACATCGATCAATCACCCTTTGTTTCAAGTTCAACATTGTAAACATAACTATGTTCACGCTCCATTGATTAAAGTCGTCTGGCTGGTTGATGGAAACGACGCGCTGCGATATCGTCACATGCAATGGTTGACTTGGAAATGGAGCCCAGTTCAGGCTACTACGCATGAACAAGACCACGAGCTCGGCAGAAGTTGGTATCAGAATGGCACAGGGAAACAGATGACTGAAATGGGACACCAGCTAAGAATCCATATTTCATCGGCTTCCCGTCAAGTCCTACAAGCCTAGTATTCGTAGACTTTCCGTCGTGTTGTGTAAGAGAATATGGACAGATGTTCTAACAGGCCCCCCAAGCCAGTTGTTTTTGTTTTTGTTCACTCATTTATTTATTTTTATAAGCTTCAGTCACTGCTGCGTGTCTGCACCAAGACCTCAGTGAGTGGAAAGACGTGATCAGATGAGATTTCGAAGCAACGCCATGACGCATAATTAGTTAGAGCTGAATGGAGTGTTTTCTGCGCATGGGATTGAGTTGTATCTGTCGTTGGCAATATCAACAAGACACACATTTTACCAAGGGCCCAGGTGTCATGCACATCAGGATTGACCATCTTCCTTGTCATTTGTGAAATAAGCTACAAATAAAGTGCCGGAAGACGTCGCAGCGGCTCGAGGCAGACGTAACAGAAGTTGCCGGAGGTCAAATATATTACACCTTATTTCTATGATGGCAAGACAGCGGTGAAGGAGCTATGATCTATTACCGGCACCTGCGCCTCCTAACGTTACGCGGGTTTGGGAACAGCTGAAGACGCCGAGGAACTTAGTTTCCCCCCGCTACATAGTTGCAGTTGAGGCGTTTACGGAAACGGCCTTGGAACTGAGCACACAGCTACTTCGTGGTAGACCCATTTCTCAGACTGAGACAACTGATGGAGACTACGGGGGACTGATGTTTTCTGTAGCGGACAGCCCCGGTTGTCTCCACGTTTGCCCAATGACTCGAAGCCATTCGAGCACGTTCCTGTGGTTAGACTAGCAGACGAAAAGTGATAAGGAAATGCCTGTGGGTAAATTGACCCAGGATGGGCAGTTCGCAGCACAAGGGAGTCCCTGAACATCGAACTGAACCCTGAATGACAACTAGGGTTCGTGCCCGAAATCCCAGACTTCTCATCCAAACGTTCGAGAGATTTTCGTAGCTAGCTGCAAATGAAAAGCTTATTCCCCCATGTATCCTTGCAGCTCTCTCTGCCAGGGTCCACCAAGCACGAGTCAATGCTTGTTTGGACATAAGTTCTGTACCCCGGTCTTGGCTATCCAGTCCTTCAGGAACAGGTTGGAAGGCCACCATAGGTGAAAGATCTGATTGGTTTACTCCGATCCCACGCGAAATCGCTATCAGAGTCCACGTTGTCTGCCACGAGAGATGACACAGCTACAGCCTTTTCGGACCCGCCCTCACCTTAATCGCAAGTTCCTCTTGTTATGGGGTCCATGTATCCGTAAATATGCTCAAGAACCCCTCTGTGGACCGGTCTCCGCGTCATCATGGTAGCCGAGGTGGTAACGGAAAGCGTCGTCTCGCCGAAGCCGGCGGTTGTACATTACGAGTTGTGATAGGGACTGTCGAACATTTGCGGCTCGCATTTCCCGTGCCTTTCCAGAAGTAATTACCAGTACGAATTCATCTGCAAGAATGACAGAAGCCATCAGTTCCAAGACAATTGAGAAAGAGCTCGGGCCCAAGCTATCGGCTGGAGCGCGACTACAGCTCCCCGGATCAGCGGGCTTCGAGAAGTCGAACCTGCGCTTCACCGAATATGAGAGACCGGTGAGTCGAAGTCAAGTTCAAGGAGAGGATTATCACTGACCTCGGACCATCACAGACGTATTTAGCGGCCGTTGAGCCGGGCTGTGACGAAGACGTGATCGAGGTGATGAGATACGCTAGAGAGAGAGGCATTCCATTTGCGCCTCGATCAGGACATCACGCAGTGACATCGACGATGCGACACTTGAACAACGGGATCCTCATCGATATGAGACCTCTTAACAAGTTGACCTTCGACGCCGAGAACCAACAAGTGACCGTCGGAGGAGGCGTCATCACCGATGATTTCGTCAAGTTTCTTCAGTCCGTGGGAATGGAAGTCAGTGAGTAACCAACCAACTGTGGAGGCGTACCACTTCGTGACTTGTGTCGAGGCCAACTAACCCCAGTACAGACGTGGGATCTTGTCCTACCACAGGCGTCATCGGAGTGGCTTTCGGCGCCGGGCTTGGTCGCCTCCAAGGCAAATACGGCTTCTTACACGACAACATGGTATCCTGCAAACTGGTTCTTGCCGACGGGCGCGTCATCATAACATCACATGATTCGGAGCCCGATCTCTTCTGGGCTATTCGGGGAGCCGGGCACAACTTTGGCATCGCGCTCGAAGTTACATTCCGCGTGTATCCCGAGGCGAACATGGGGATACACTATACATGGGACCTAGAATATACTCTGGATCAGTGCGATTCCGTATTCGACACACTCAACAGTGTGCACGAAACCATGCCCCCGGAGCTGGCGATATTTGTGCTTTGGCTTCGCCAGAGCGATGGAGGGCGAAAGGTGTGTTTCTCAAGCCATACGAGCTTCCGTGTAGCTAACATCAGGTGTTTCTTTTCTTCTCTTCCCTTTCAGCATCACATACTTGTCAACATTGTCTGGTCGGGCAAAGAAAACGAAGCAGCCCCCTGGGTCGACCGATTCGAAAGCCTGGGCCCCGTGATTAACAGCGGAAAAGTGGCAATCAGCTGGGCAGAGCTCCCTTGGACCACATACAAGGGAATGAACAAGATCTTGAGCAAGCCCGAGGTATGGTCTCTGGCGCCCAACAAGATGATGGGCGCGGCGTGCGTAGAGAAGTTCGATCTCGGTACGACCAAGGCCTTCCTAGAGAGCGTCAAGGCGATGAACGAGGAATGGGCAGGTAAGGGCACCTTCGGGGCCATGTTCGAGTGCTTGCCGCACCACAGAGTCAGAGAGCTGCCCAGCGAGGCGACGGCTTTCCCGTGGCGCTGGGGCTCGAATCATTTCTTGTGAGTTCCCCGATGAGTTGGAGGAGCTTCCCACGCCAAATCGACATGCGCTGACTGGATGGGGACAGGATGCTCATGGCCACGCCGCTGAAGACGGAACACAGGGAGGCATTCGAAGCTCACCTCGATCACTGGAAGAAAGAATTCATTGCGACGTCTGGGTACGGTCGGCTGCAACAGTACGTCAACTATGGGAACACCACGTCGACGATGAGGGACCCTCCGGAGGCATTGTATGGCTACGAGCCGTGGAGATTGGAGAAGCTGCGCGCGTTGAAGAGGCAATACGATCCTGAAAACGTGTTTCGCTGGTATCAACCATTGATAGAGGAGGAAATCCCACAAAGCTAAGATGTTATATTTCGACTTGTTTCACACTAGGATTGAGGCCACAACATGGCAAATAGCGAAACACCCTTGTTGTACGCAACGCTTAAATCCTGCAGTCTTTTGAACTAGGGCTGGTTGGCAAGCCATCGTGTCTCTTCAATGGGTAGAAACAAGAGATCACCAAGTCCGAATACGGACAGGATCGCACCGGTATGCTTTGGGACTTGTACATGGGCGCCAATTAATCGGCAGATGTCCTAGTCAGGGAGCCAGCTTCGTGGGTGAGCCATCCCTCGTCTCAGCTCTAGGTTCTAGGGTTTCCTTGCTGTCGGGTCTTCGCCCCGCCACGATGGCACGTTGTTGGAAACCCCTGTCATTCAAAGAGCTCAAGCCCTCGAACCAATGCCAAGCTCTGTCTCAAGCACGTTGGCGGGGATCAGTTTGCGGCATTGACATACGATCTTCGCTCAAACATGGATGGCAAGCGAAGACGGAGGAGGGAGGGGTGGTTCTGTCAAAGTTGCTGCCGAAGCTGGGAACAGACTGATAACGGATCGTGAGAATGGAAACAGGTGGTCGTGTCTTCCGCGTCTGCTCCAGAGCCTCGGGGACAGATGATTGACCAGAACCATCTCTAGCCAGACAGACACAAGGGCTGCCGAGATTCGCAATGACAACTGAGATTCTCCTGCCAGGTCCATGGCGCGAGTTCCTGGTGTCCAAAGCCCGCCATGGCCTCCCGTTGTACATCCTGATACCCATTCTTCTCGTCGCCATCAAGGTCTCAGTCGGGCTTCATCGCAGGATCTCCCGCGCCCGCCGGGCCCGCAAGCTCTCATGCCGCCCGCCGCCCCTCGAACCCTCGAGCCTCCCCCTCGGCATCGACACCGTCCTCTCCTCCCTGCGCGCCGACCGGGAGCAACGCACGCCGGACCACGTCGCCGCGCGCTTCGCCGCCCTCGGCGCGTACACGTTCCGCATTTCCCTCCTGGGCACGACGAACCTCGTCACGGCCGACCCGCGCAACATCCAGGCCCTCCTCGCCACGCAGTTCTCCGACTTTGGCATGGGCCTGGCCCGGAGCACCAGCCTCAAGACGGTGCTCGGCCGCAGCATCTTCGCCGCCGACGGGGCGCCGTGGCGGGCCGCGAGAGAGATGATGAGGCCACTGTTCAGCCGCGACAACGTCTCGAGGCTCGACCTGCTGGAGGCGCACATCCAAACGCTGTTCCTCTGCATCGAGAAGGACTCGATTACCACATCAGATGGTCGCTGGTCTGGCGCCGTAAGCCTCGCCTCGCTGTTCCCTTTTCTCACGCTCGACTCCGCGACAGAGCTATTCCTCGGCCGGAGCACGTCCACCCTCGAAGCGCATCTCCGGGGCGACGCCTCCCACCTGGGGACGGCGTTCAATCGCGCGTTCGAGCGCATGCTCACGATCCTCGGTACTCGCATGCGCCTGCGCAGCCTGTACTGGCTCTACGGCACCAAGGAGCTGCAGTCCTGCGTCGCGACCCTCCACGCCTTCGTCGACGACGCCGTCGCCGCCTCCGACCGCGCGCGGGCTCAGGGCTCCTCCCTGGCGCCGTACGACTTCCTCGACGTCCTGCGCGAGCGCTGCGCCGGCGGCGACGGGGAGGTAAGGGAGCAGGTCCTCGGCCTCCTCGCCGCCGGCCGGGACACGACCGCCTCGCTGATGGGCTGGGCGTGGTACTGCCTCGTCCGCAACCCGCGCGTGTTCGCCAAGCTCCGCGCCGAGGTCCTCGCGGCGTTCGGGCCCGACGCGCCCCCGGAACAGCCCGCCGCCACCGCGGTGACCTTCGCGTCCCTGAAGCAGTGCGCGTACCTCCAGCACGTCCTCTCCGAGACCCTCCGCCTGCACTCCGTGGTGCCGTTCAACTCGCGCCGCGCGCTGCGCGACACGACCCTCCCCGCGGGCGGCGGGCCCGACGGCGAGAGCCCCGTGTTCGTGCCCGCGGGCACCGAGGTCAACTTCAGCACGCACGTCTTGCACCGACGCCCGGACGTCTGGGGCGAGGACGCGGGCGAGTTCGTGCCGGAGCGGTGGGAGGCGAAGAGGGGCGCGGCGGGCGCGGCGTGGCACTTTGTGCCGTTCAACGCCGGGCCGAGGATCTGCATCGGACAACAGATGGCGTTGACGGAGGCCGGGTACGTGATTGTGAGGATGCTCCAGCGGTACGACGCCGTGGAGGGGTTAGACGTAGATACGCGCCGGGACTGGCACAACTTCACCGTGGTCTGCAGTCCGGGGAGCCCGGTCGACCGGCACGAGGAGGTGCTCTGTCGGTTGAGAGTTGCTCGGAAGTGATCTTGATCAGAGTCTCGATCTCTGGTCAAAACCCCGGGATGATCTTGAATGTAGTCAATTCAGTTGGTTTGCCACTGAGGAGAAACTGTCCTGCGGAGACGAGGTGCCTTTCGAAAAGACTGTATATACGCCAACTATGAGGGTTTCCAAGTGGATATACACACCAACACCGACTGGTGCTGAGGTTTAACATGTCCCCTTGTCCAAAAGCGACCGTAGGAAGGGCACCAAGTAACAAAGGGTATCGCGAAAGAGCGCCAGAACCATTCACACCATACGAATCCTCGCCGTATCTCACTCAGACATCCTCCCTGGGCTTTACCGGGGGGAACCCCAGAATACCATTCAAAGAGCCGACCGATTTGTTCCGGAAACTCCACGTGCTTTTACCCACGCCGGGGTCTGCCTTGCCAGAAGTAACGTCGGATCCATCTCGCAGCTCCCAGCTGCCGTGGCGCTCGTGGTGCGACCCGCGCCTCGACACCGACAAGTCCGGGTCGCTGGCCATCTTCTCGGTGGCCCGAAGCCCGCCGAACAGCATGGGGATCCGGCTTTCCCGCCGGGGTCTGGGCATCGCCCCCGGCGACTCCGGTCGCTGAATGTGGAAGCCGCCGAAAAGGACCGCCGCGACGGCGGCCAGGCCCAGGACGGCGAGGGCGATGATCGCGCCGATGATGCCCGCGACAAAGGGCTTCTGCACGACCGAGCTGATGGCCTCGCCGACGGTTGGCTGCGCGGTTCTCCACTGGCAAAAGGACTGCGCCGAGCCGCAGATCTTGCACCACGCCGAGACGTCGACGCTGAAGTTGAGCATCTCCTGCTTGAATCGGCTGTACGGCACGCGGGTTTCGGTGTCGGCGAGGCCGAAGAGGGCGTATTCTTTGAAAGGCGTGTCCGGATCGGCGTTTTCTCTGTACAGGAAACGGACGTAGAGGTTATCCTCGGTCGGGTAGGCGTTGGCGTCGTCGCTGGCGGTATCCGGGATGTCGTCGCCGGCAGTATCCGGGATGTCGCCGATGAGCTCAAAAACCATAACCGCACCGTTCTGAGAGATGTTCCAGAAGGGGCCCGGCAGAGCGGGATCGCCCTGCTGGAGCCGGGCGAGGGAGAAGAAGGACATGAAGGGCTCGTGGGAGCCGAACATTAGCGTCAATTTGTTAGAGGAGCCGGCGTGGTCGCCGTTGGCCCGGAAGGCGTCGACAACCCTCCCGGCCAACGTCCTTCCGGCGATGGTCCGGATCATGTCACCCTTTTGCAGGCCAGAGACTGCCTGGTTGGACGTCATGTTGAGTTGCTGTAGTCTGGCGTACGTCATCAGGAATTCGTTCTGCGATGCGTACCCGTCTTTCATCGCGTCGTAGATGGCCTGCTCGTGCGAGTAGCGGTAGTCAACGTATTGCTGAATGTTGTAGGCGTCCCAGAAGCTCGCGTTGGAGAGGGAGACCACGCCGTCATTCAAAGGCGGGGTGCTGAATAACGACCGGTAGCCGGGAAGGGAAGCTTCATAGAGCTTCTTCATGTCAGGGTCGAGCTGCATAGCAGTTGTGGTTGAGATCCTCCATTGTGGGCATTCCGTGTTGCCTCGAATGCTATAGTGGCCTTGTCAGTTATCTCCACGCCACTATACGAGGCCATTCAACTTACGCAATAGACCTCTCGTCCGATGATCCCAGGGTTTCAATCACTGGGTACTGGTATCCGTCCAATGGGTACTGAGTCGAGTTCCCGGTCAGTGTCGAATAGGAGATGTTGGTCCCGCCAGTGTCTGCTGCAAAGGCATTTGTGATGGGCGGGTACAGGCCTTGCATGAAGGCGTTGGCGCTGGCAACGATATGGGAGTCGGGGGCCGAAAGGATCGCGAGCTGCTCATGCTCAAGGACGTTTCGCGCCATGCCTTGGATCGGGAAGCGAGACGTGATACGGCTCTCGGATGCGTTTATCAGCAGCCTTGCGCTGGTCAGATAACGCGATCTGAAGGCATCGCCCTGAGCATACAGCTGTTGAGCACCCTGGGGCGTCAGGGTGTTTTGGAGGCCGCTAAGCAGAGGCGTGCGCTCGCCGTGCATGACCATCGCGACGGATGCCCATACTGAAGGGTTGGAGGACTGGGCCGACGTCGTCGACAGCAATGCGCTCGCTAGCAAGACCAAGGACGAGGGACCCATGCCGAGGACTGTTTGCAGCGATCAGGTTCACGGGGACGGTGTAGGGCTTCCAAGCACGAGAACCAGGTTTGAAAAGAAGACAGAGCTCTGCCAAGATAGGGGCGTGAGGGGAAGGTCTTCGCTTAAAAGAACAAGACAACTTGCTAGAGACTGAAGATCGGGAGAGACGATCCCGTCACAGTACAGCGGGAGACTGGTCTACCAAGCTACATAGGCTTGTGGGACAACCTACAAAGCACCTCGATCCGAACTGCATCTCATCAGAACGCTTACCGTAGAGGGGGCATGTAGATGGTACTATGTTAAGAAACAGCGCAACGGAGCGAGTCATACTACATCCGGGGCGTGGGCAGGATGGGGGTGGAAGAGATGTGACAAGGAAACCTCAAGTGTTTGCAGGCGAACGAATGGGAACGGTGGCATACGGCTGAAATTGACCAACTCAACAAAGCCGGGTAGATGGCGAGGCAACACGAGAAAGGCGAACGACCGTGCCGAGCCAGAAGAGACGAGGAATCGGTACGGCGAGTGAGTACATGGGCGAGAGGGACCTCCGCGCTTCGTCATCAGTCACCAACTCGATGAGTTCATACCAATATGTGATGAGAAAGCCATTCAGCCCTGGCTAGATGGCGCTCGACGAATGAAGGGGAGCAGATGCCGCAATCGTCTTTGGTTGCCGGAAGAATCTGTGGCGCCGCCGGCTAACGTCGATTAGGCGGGGGGGGGGGGCAAAACGTCCCGATTCGATGCGGGCAGTAAGACATATATGAGCTTGATCGTAACCTACCTCATATGTAGTCAGTCGGCTCAGCATGGGTAGATAGAGCCTTGTCGATGCAAATGGGATAGATGAGGGCCAGTTAAGGTTTAGGGAGGCCGGCCAACTCCAGTGACTCGGGGCATCTTGATGTCGAAACAAGAAAAGAGATGGAAAAAGAATGGAAGCAAATCTTAGTAAAAACAAACCTGCGAGCGGCTAGTTGTGTAGAAGACGTAGAGAAGAAGGAAAAGTGCAGTGAGCTGGAAGCGGAAGATAGAGTGCTACAGCTTTGAGCTTTTATTTTAGCTCGCGCCACCATCGAACCTCTCCGGACTGGACCTGTCCAATAGGCTTACACCAAAGCACTCACATGCTCCCCTTGTGACTGACGGATAAGGAACACTGGCGTCGTTCACCCAGTAAGCTTAAGTCCTGATGATATCTGAAACTGGCGTTGCGGACTAACAGGAATCTAAGACAGCGAACGAACGGATCGAGATCAGATCTGCAGCAAAGGCCGATGTCTCGGTCGGTGATGCAACTACCCTCATTCGGCATTCGAGTTGTGGCATCTGGAAGTGTTCCTTGGGAGTGAAAGGCTGCCACACTTCAGCCTGCAACCCACGGCCCGGAGGATCAATGCAGCTAGCGCGGTGAGGCGGTCCGAGTAGACCACGACGAACGCGTAGATACCGCGAGTGAGGTTGCAATGGGATAGCCATGGCGTCTATTGAATGTGAAGAGAAATGGAAAAACACCAAGGGTGGCCAATTCTATGCGGCACGCAGGAATGATACGATGTGCCAGCTCCTCTTCGTTGGCCCATCCGTGCCCGTGATATAGTTCCGAAACGAATTATCTCGGGCCTCATGTTCTGCTACCCTCGGAGCGTTGGGTAATCCTTGATGGCTGCGGGTCCCTCGGCCGAGATCAGCGCGCGCCGGTGCCGGACCCTTGGCCGGGACCCCGGGCCGGGACCGCCTCCGAACCGGGCTGGATCCCGAGGTCGCTGGCCCTACTACCCATAGCTCCCCTCAGGAACCTCGCGCTTCGAGGAGGAGCAATTGTCACACGATCCATCGCATCGCATCGCATCACACCCACAACAGCTCGAAGAAAGTTCATCCGCAATGGGTTCAACCGAGAAGAGGACATCCGCGTTCGAGCGCGTAGAGTTCATCCCGCCCGACGCCATCTTCGACGTCACCAGGCGGTACGTCGCAGACACCAGCCCCGACAAGGTCAACCTCGGCCAGGGCACGTATCGCGACGAGGACGGGCAGCCGTGGATTCTGCCGTCGGTGCGGCTGGCCGAGGAATCGCTTGGGACGCCCGGGCACGAGTACCTCCCCATCGCGGGACTGAAGCCATTCCGGGACGAGGCCGTCAAGCTCGTCTTCGGCACCACCAAGGCGTTTGCGGAGAACCGGGTAAGTCTCGCGCGCGCGGGGCGGGGGGGCTTGGCCCCGACGACCACCACCCTTTCCCCGGCACGCAGTTGTTTTCTGACCTTGGACCACGCAGATCGCATCATGCCAGTCCCTCTCGGGCACCGGCGCTCTCCTCCTCGCCGGGCTCGCACTGAAGAAGGCCGCCACGGGGATCACGACCGTCTACATCACCGACCCGACGTGGTCCAACCACGAGCTCCTCTTCGGCTCGCTCGGCTTCGAGGTGCGGCGGCTCCCCTACTACAAGGACCGCGCGTTCGACTTTGACGGCTACATGGCGGCCCTCGCCTCCGCCGACGCCGCCTCCGCCGTCGTCCTGCACGCCTGCGCGCACAATCCGACGGGCTGTGACCCATCGCAGGAGCAGTGGAAGCGGATCGCCTCCGTCATCGTCGAGCGGGGCGCTTTCCCCGTCTTCGATTCGGCGTACCTCGGCTTCAACTCGGGCTCGGTCGACGACGACGCGTGGGCGATCCGGTACTTCGTCGACGGGCTCGGCCTCGAGGCGGCCGTGTGCCTCTCGTTTGCCAAGAACATGGGCCTGTACGGCGAGCGCGTGGGCGCCGTGACGTTCGTCGCGGGCTCCGAGGACGGTGCCAGGACCGCGGGCTCCGTCTTGGA